CTTCATTCTTAGGGGAATATGCCTAGAACATGCTTCAGCTGCCAGGAAGTTGATCCCTTTAAAGCACTGGTTTGGATCCATGTCATTTTAAACATCTCAACATGTTTCATTTAGGACATGGTTTACCTGGTCCCAGTTGATGTTCTTGTTGTTGAAGTTGTATTTTGTGAAGACACCTTCACAGGTACATGCATTCTGCTGATCAGGACCCCTATGCATGTACGTCTGGACTTCGATTAGGTTGTGATCGGAATTAGTTGTTTTTGATATTCTTATGTCTCTTATCAGGTCTTCATTATTTGTGAAGATAAGGTCAAGTGTGTTTTCTAGTCTTGTTGGCTCCACTATCTGCTGGCTTAAGGTGTGTTTTTCGCAGAGACTTAGTAGCTCGTGTGTGTGACCCTTCATCTGCGCTTCCTCCGGGGATTGTTTCAGCTATAACATTATTTGCTACAGCCCACCTCACACACTGGCGGGTCTACTAGCCCACCTCACTAGCGGGTCTACTAGCCTACCTCACACTGGTGGGTCTACTAGCCCACCTCACACTGGTTTGGTCAACTTCCATAGTGAACGATTTGTGAGAGCAGATTTGGGACCACTCCTTCCGAATTTCTGTGTGTAGATTATGTATCTCAGGCCTGTGTTCCAAGGAGTGCATGTCGAGGGAATTCAAATAAATTAGGTTCTTGGTGGAATCTACGCTATCAGTGAAGGTTCTCTGCACATTCTCCGGAGCAGTGATTTCACTTACTTTGACCGGAGCTGTTTAGAGCAGTACTCAAGCCTTGAGCGAATAAGTGACTTGAAGAGTATCGTCATTGGCTTGGCATCTCGTTTTAAAAGTTCTAGTTATCCATACTGTCATTTTTCCTCGTGGTTGTGAAAGTGACACGTCACGATCCCGAGGTTTCTTGTATCTTCTTTGGTTGAAGATTGAGACACTTAGGCAGCATATGGGAATCTTTATTCAGGAAACGTTTCGCCACATAGTGGCTTCATCAGTCCAATACAAAGAGGAAGGCGTAAGGAGAGGAGGAGTATGAGGTAATCAGTCCCTCAGCCTGGAGTCTATGTGTTCAGTCCATCAATCTTGTAGAATGTACAGCATAGGGCCGTAGACGTGGCTTATATACTGTAGTGAGGTGAGGTGAAGCAGGCGGAGGTGAGGTCATAGTGGTACCATCCACTAGTCGAAGTATGTCTTCGTCCAAAGGTTGAACAAGTGTTGAAGAATTCTTTGTAACAAGATTCCATGATGCTGCAGTGTCTGACAGTTGTGATGAATGGTTTGAAAAACCGACAAGTTGAAGATTGAGACACTTATGCAGCATACCACGTCTACGGCCCTATGCTGTACATTCTACAAGATTGATGGACTGAACACATCGACTCCAGGCTGAGGGACTGATTACCTCATACTCCTCCTCTCATTACGCCTTCCTCTTTGTATTGGACTGATGAAGCCACTGTGTGGCGAAACGTTTCCTGAATAAAGATTCCCATATGCTGCATAAGTGTCTCAATCTTCAACTTGTCGGTTTTTCAAACCATTCATCACAACTGTCAGACACTGCAGCATCATGGAATATTGTTACAAAGAATTCTTCAACACTTGTTCAACCTTTGGACGAAGACCTACTTCGACTAGTGGATGGTACCACTATGACCCCGCCTCCGCCTGCTTCACCTCACCTCACTACAGTATATAAGCCACGTCTACGGCCCTATGCTGTACATTCTACAAGATTGATGGACTGAACACATCGACTCCAGGCTGAGGGACTGATTACCTCATACTCCTCCTCTCATTACGCCTTTCTCTTTCTATTGGACTGATGAAGCCACTGTGTGGCGAAACGTTTCCTGAATAACAACAGAGATATACACCACAGCACCGTATCCTTTGCGGATGATACTAGGATCTGCATGAGGCTGTCATCTGCTGAGGACGCGGTTAACCTCCAAGAAGATATAAACAAAGTTTTCCAGTGGGCAACAGTAAACAATATGATGTTCAATGAGGACAAATTCCAACTACTCCAGTTATGGAAAACTGGAGGAGATAATAACTAGAACAGAGTATACTACTGACTCCAGCCATACAATAGAGCGGAAAAATAATGTAAGGGACCTGGGAGTAGTAATGTCTGAGGATCTCACTTTCAAGGATCACAACAGTGCCACGATCGCACGTGCAAAGAAAATGATAGGATGGATAATGAGAACTTTCAAAACGAGAGATGCCAAGCCCATGATGATCCTTTTCAAATCACTTGTTCTCTCTAGGCTGGAATAATGCTGTACATTAACATCTCCATTCAAAGCAGGTGAAATCGCAGATCTAGAGAGTGTACAGAGATCCTTTACTGCACGTATAAGTTCTGTCAAGCACCTTAACTACTGGGAACGCTTGGAAGCACTTGACTTGTACTCGTTGGAACGCAGGAGGGAGAGATATATCATAATCTACACTTGGAAAATCTTGGAAGGAATGGTCCCAAATCTGCACACAGAAATCACTCCCTATGAAAGTAAAAGAATGGGCAGGCGATGCAAAATGCCCCCAATAAAAAGTAGGGGCGCCATTGGTACACTAAGGGAAAACACCATAAGTGTCCGGGGCCCAAAACTGTTTAACAGCCTCCCATCAAGCATTAGGGGAATTGCCAATAAACCCCTGGCTGCCTTCAAGAGAGAGCTGGACAGATACCTAAAGTCAGTGCCGGATCAGCCGGGCTGTGGCTCGTATGTTGGACTGCGTGCGGCCAGCAGTAACAGCCTAGTTGATCAGGCCCTGATCCATCGGGAGGCCTGGTCATGGACCGGGCCACGGGGGCGTTGATCCCCGGAATAACCTCCAGGTAACCTCCAGGAATAAAAATTCCCATATGCTGCATAAGTGTCTCAATCTTCAACTTGTCGGTTTTTCAAACCATTCATCACATCTTTGGTATTTCTGCGTCCTATGCTATTCAGTGTCTTTCAAGCACCACGATTGCATAGGCTTCTTTAGGCCTCTTGTATAGTATTCAGGCATTGGGGATGTTGGAGGAGGGGTGGGGTGAGGCAGGAGGGGTGAGGATGTTAGAGGAGGGGTTGTGGTATTCGGGGAGTGCGTTGAGATCTGGTGGTGTCTTGGGATAAGAGTGACGGTGTCTGGAGAAGTTCTGAGGGAGGTGGGAGGAAGAGTGGTGATATTTGGAGGGGGTGGTGGGGGAAGGGGTTGTGGGGAGGGGTGTGATCAGGGTGGTGGGGGAAGGGATGTATACAGGGGTGGTGGGGAAGGGGGTGTATGCAGGGGTGGTTGGGGAAGGGGTGTGTGCAGGGATGGTGGGGAGGGGGATGTGGGCAGGGGTGGTGGGGAACGGGGTGGGCAGGGGTGGTGGAGGAAGGGGGATGGGCAGGGGTGTTGGGGAAGGGGGTGGGAGAAGGGGGGCGGGCAGGGGTGGTGGGGGAAGGGGGTGTGGGCAGGGGTGGTGGTGAAGGGGTGTGGGCAGGGGTGGTGGGGGAAGGTGGTGGTTGGGAAGGGGTGTGGGCAGGGGTGGTGGGAAGAGGTGTGGGCAGGGGTGGTGGGGAAGGGGTGTGGGCAGGGGTGGTGGGGAAGGGGTTTGGGCAGGGGTGGTAGGGGAAGGGGTGGTGGGGGAACGGGGTGTGGGCAGGAGTGGTGGGGGAAGGGGTGGTGGAGGAAGGGGTGTGGGCAGGGGTGGTGGGGAAGGGGTGTGGGCAGGGGTGGTGGGGGAGGGGGGTGGTGGGGGAACGGGGTGTGGGCAGGAGTGGTAGGGGAAGGGGTGGTGGAGGAAGGGGTGTGGGCAGGGGTGGTGGGGAAGGGGTTTGGGCAGGGGTGGTAGGGGAAGGGGTGGTGGGGGAACGGGGGTGGGGCAGGAGTGGTAGGGGAAGGGGTGGTGGAGGAAGGGGTGTGGGGCAGGGGTGGTGGGAAGGGGTGTGGGCAGGGGTGGTGGGGAAAGGTGGTGTGGGCAGGGGTGGTGGGGAAATTGGGTGGGAAGGGGTGGTGGGGGATGGGGTGTGGGCTGGGGTGGTGGGGAATGGTGTGTGGCAGGGGTGGTGGGGAAGGGTGTGGGCATGGGTGGTGGGGAAGGGGTAAGGGTGTGGCAGGGGTGGTTGGGAAGGGGTGTGGGCAGGGGTGGTGGGGATGGGGTGTGGGCAGGGGTGGTGGGGAAGGGGTGTGGGCAGGGGTGGTGGGGAAGGGGTGTGGGCAGGGGTGGTGGGGATGGGGTGTGGGCATGGGTGGGGGAAGGGGTGGTGGGGAAGGGGTGTGGGCAGGGGTGGTTGGGAAGGGGTGTGGGGCAGGGGTGGTGGGGAAGGGTGTGGGCAGG